AAAATGCTGCTGCCAGAGTCTTAACTGGAGTTACTGGGAGAGATCATATCTCTCCAGTTTTAGCTTCTCTCCATTGGCTCCCTGTCAAATCCAGAATAGAATTCAAAATCTTACTTCTAACCTACAAAGCTCTCAACAACCTAGCTCCATCTTATATTACAGATCTAATTGTTCATTATTTTCCTAACAGAGCACTTCACTCTCAGACTGCAGGTTTAATTGTGGTTCCTAGAGTTTCCAAAAGCAGAATGGGAGGAAGATCTTCCAGTTCTCAGGCTCCTCTCTTGTGGAACCAACTTCCAGTTTCTGTCCGTGAGGCTGACACATTGTCCAGTTTAAGACTTTCCTTTTTGATAAATCCTATAGTTAGGGTCGGCTTGGGTTTCCTGAGCTGTCCCTTCATTCTGCTGCTATAGGCTTAGACTGCTGGAGGACAAACTGACCACATTTCCTCTCTCTGCTGTCTTTACTTACTCTACTCTTCCTGTTTGTATTTGTAATTATTTCTAGCATAAATTTTTTTGTCTGTCTTTCCATAGAAATACATCTGGACTATAGAAATACATCTGGACTATAGAAATACATCTGGACTACAGAAATACATCTGGACTATAGAAATACATCTGGACTATAGAAATACATCTTCTGAACTATAGAAACACATCTGGACTATAGAAATACATCTGGACTATAGAAATACATCTGAACTATAGAAATACATCTAGACTATAGAAATACATCTGAACTATGGAAATACATCTGGACAATAGAAATACATCTGGACTATAGAAATACATCTGGACTATAGAAATACATCTGGACTATAGAAATACATCTAGACTATAGAAATACATCTGGACTATAGAAATACATCTGGACTATAGAAATACATCTAGACTATAGAAATACATCTGGACTATAGAAATACATCTGGACTATAGAAGGTATGCCTGGACCAGTCATTCTGTGTTTGTTTCTCCTTCCTGTCTTCTCAGACCCAGCCGGTTGAAGCAGATGGACGCTTGTCCTGATCCTGGTTCTTCTGGAGGTTTCGTTCTGTTAAAGGGAGTTTTTTCTTTCCACTGTCTTCTTTGTTCTTGCTCAGGGTGGGAGATTGCAACGAAGTGAAGATTCAACACAACCTGCTGCTTCCTCAGATAGAGAACTTTACTAAATGTCTTTTTAATGTATGAGAATGTTTTCAGTACTCTGAGATGACGTATGTTGGGACTTGGAGCCAGAGAAATAAACTGAACTAAATTACTCAGATGTAAACAAAGGTCAATAAAAACAGTTAAAGCAGACAGTGCGTGCTCTTTTTATCTTTAGAAAATTTTCCTCCTCCCCCTCTTCTTCTGTTCTTTCTGTCTGACCTCTGACTCCCCTCCATCAGTTCAGCTCCTGGCTCCACCTCCTGAGTCCTGGATTCCGGCTTCAGTTCTGAGCAGGTCTTGAGTATGAACAGTAGCTCAGAGTTGCATCAAAAGAAGAAAGGAGTGGATTTTTTCTTGAAAAGAAGCATCAAATAGATCAATTTGTTTGTTTGTTTGTTTTCTGTTTGTGGATCAGGGAATGATTGTGTTTCTTCTGTTCTGGATATAATGTGGACCCCCATGAAACTGACATGGACCTGGATCCTGCTGGTGCTGCTGCAGGGACTTTGGAGCTCAGGTTGGACCCACTTCAACTCATTCTTTCTTTCATTACAGATTTCTCCTCTGTCTGTCCTCAGCTCCTTGTTTGTTTGTTTGTGATCTCAGTCAGGTTAATGTTGACCCCAGCTGCTGCTCCTGTCAGTCCATTGTCAGGGTCTAACTACTCCATGTTACAAGCAGTTTAGAGTGTTGGTAAGAGCAGTGCTGTTACCTGTGAGGGGGTGGGGCTTGTTGTTCAGGTGAGGCTGCTTTCTCTCTGTTTGTTGGTAAATATCCTGCTCACTGATCCATTCTGTGCTCACTCATGAGAACTTTATCGGATCCTTTAAAGGTATCTGTTTAAATCTGTTCCAAGTTCTGTTTAAAAGATTTAAACTAGATTAGAACCAAGATCACTGGTCTGTTGTAGATCAGGGATCCAAGGACCAGGTTGTTGGTCCCAGGTCTGCGTCCTTGATCTCAGGACCAGGTTGTTGGTCTCAGATCCAGGTCATTTGTCTCAGGACCAGGTTGTTGGTCCCAGGTCTGGGTCGTTGGTCTCAGGGCCAGGTTGTTGGTCCCAGGTCTGAGTCATTGGTCTTAGGACAAGGTTGTTGGTCCCAGGTCCAGGTCATTGATATCAGGACAAGATTGTTGGTCCCAGGTCCTGGTCATTGGTCTCAGGGCCAGGTTGTTGGTCCCAGGTCTGGATCGTTGGTTTCAGGACCAGATCGCCGGTCAATTGTTGGTCCCAGGTCCGGGTAATTGGTCTCATGACAAGGTTGTTGGTCCCAGGTCCGGGTAATTGGTCTCATGACAAGGTTGTTGGTCCCAGGTCTGGGTTGTTGGTCTCAGGACCAGGTTGTTGGTCCCAGGTCTGGGTCGTTGGTCTCAGGACCAGGTTGTTGGTCCCAGGTCTGGATTGTTGGTCTCAGGGCCAGGTTGTCGGTCAGTTGTTGGTCCTTGGGCAAAGGGAATAGGTGTGAGGACTTGTCATCTGGACAGGAAGTGGACCAATAGCAGCAGACAGACAGATGGGGACATCTGTGGTGCTGGGATCCTGGGATTTTCAGAATCCCTGGGAGTTGCTGGGGGTGGGGGTGGTCTGGGGGCTGGCTTCGTCTGGTTCCCAGGCTTCAGTTCAGAAGGATTTATGGCTATTGGGTGTGTGGTCTTTGGAAGACCCTGAAGTTCATGGTCAGAAACAGGGGGTATGTCTCAGAACCTTCAGGATCCTGTTTGCATGTGGTTGTGGGGGGCTGTCTGTTCTCAGCGTTAATGACCCCCCACCCTCCCCTCCTTATGCAGATGACACAGATGGGGGGGGGGGGGGGGGGCAACACTTTTTAACCTGGTTTTTGGGGTGGGGAAAGGGTGGGGGGGGGGGGGGGGGGGGGGGGGTGGGGGCTCTGAAAGGACATTGGTTAAAGGTCAAAGGTTAAATGAAATTTAAATAAAATCATAAAGCTGCTTTACTTTCATCAATGGACACGATGGACTCTGACACAAACACACACATACAACCTATATAAACACAATCTAAATGTGTTGTACTGTTTGTGACTTCATTACGTGCATGTTTTTTCAATGTGCTCAAGTTTTTCTATTGTTGCACCTTACACAGTTTTTATCTCTGCTGCTATAAACACAGAAAAACTTTGTGCTGCTAACCTCATATGAGAAAACGTTTCTACCTCATGTACTACACATGTACTAATCAACACGTGTCTCTGCTCTTGTCTCTTAATTGTTTAGATTAGGTTAGATGTCTGTATTTGTTGTTCTGTTGTGTATCTGCACTGTGAGTTGTGTTGTTGTGTATCTGCACTGTGTGTTGTGTTGTTGTGTATCTGCACTGTGTGTTGTTGTGTATCTGCACTGTGTGTTGTGTTGTTGTGTATCTGAACTGTGTGTTGTGTTGTTGTGTATCTGCACTGTCTGTTGCTCTGTTGTGTATCTGCACTGTGAGTTGTGTTGTTGTGTATCTGCACTGTGTGTTGTGTTGTTGTGTATCTGAACTGTGTGTTGTGTTGTTGTGTATCTGCACTGTCTGTTGCTCTGTTGTGTATCTGCACTGTGAGTTGTGTTGTTGGGGATCTGCACTGTGTGTTGTGTTGTTGTGTATCTGCACTGTGAGTTGTGTTGTTGTGTATCTGAACTGTGTGTTGTGTTGTTGTGTATCTGCACTGTGTGTTTTGTTGTTGTGTATCTGCACTGAATGTTGTGTTGTTGTGTAACTGCACTGTCTGAATCAGAATCAGAATCAGAATGCCTTTATTGTCATTATACGCAGTACAATGAAATTGAGCCACTCCTTTTTCCAGTGCAAAAACACGCCTTAATAAAACACACATTAAACACACACTAAAAATATAAAAAATGTAACGCAATATAGATATAATAATGAAAGTAAAAAATACAAGTATTACACAATTGTATTGCACATTATGGATATTAGTGAGGTAGTTAAGGTGACTGAGGGTATGAAATGTCTGTAGTGTTGCACAGTAGAAGTCCAGGGGTTTGGGAGGTTAGATGATTAAATCAGTGCATGTGTGAGTTCAGGGTGGTGATGGCTTTCGGGAAAAAACTGTTCTTGAATCTGTTCTTGTTCTGATGCACCTGTAGCACTTCCCTGAAGGTAACAAGTCAAACAGTTCAAAACCCGGGTGTGAACAGTCCATGATTATGTTTTCTGCTCTGTTGAGGCAGTGTGATGTGTATGTCCATCAGGGAGGGGAGAGGGCAGCCAGTTATCTTTTGTGCTGTTTTGACTACTCTCTGAAGCCTCTCCCTGTCAGCCAGGGTGCAGCTGCCGTACCATACTGAGATACAGTATGTCAGCAGGCTCTCGATGGACGAGTGGTAGAAGGTCAGCAGCAGTTTTGTGTTCAGGTTGTGCTTCTTAAGGACTCTTAAGAAGTGTAGTCTCTGCTGAGCCTTCTTGATGACCGCTGTGGTGTTCTCTTTCCAGTTTAGGTCAGCAGAGATATGGACACCAAGAAATCGGAAAGTGTGAACCCTCTCCACGCACTCGCCATTGATGTAAAGGGGGGCTAGGTTGGTGCTGTGCTTCCTGAAATCAATAATTACCTCCTTGGTTTTTTTGATATTCAGAGCCAGATTTTTCTCTGAGCACCAGGTTGCTAGCTCCAGGACCTCCTGTCTGTAAAATGTCTCATCTCCCTTAGAGATTAGTCTGACCACTGTGGTGTCATCAGCGAACTTGACGATGAGGTTGTTGTTGTGGGCCGGGCTGCAGTCATGGGTGTAGAGACAGTACAGCAGGGGGCTCAGCACACAGCCCTGTGGGGAGCCAGTGCTCAGCGTACGAGTGGAGGAGAGGTGGGGACCAAGTCTTACAGATTGGGGCCGATTGGTTAGGAAGTCTTTTATCCAGGCACATGTGAGTGGGGGGAGGCCGAGATTGTCCAATGTATTTATAAGAATGTCCGGAATGATTGTGTTAAAGGCCGAGCTGTAATCCACAAAGAGCATTCGAACGTAGCTGTGCTGTTGTTCCAGGTGGCTCAGCGCGGTGTGGAGAGCTACTGCAATAGCATCCTCTGTGGACCTGTTGGTGCGATATGCAAACTGGTAGGGGTCAAAGTTCGGAGGGAGAAAGTCCTTGATGTGCTGGAGAACCAGTCTCTTGAAGCACTTCATGATTACCGGGGTGAGAGCCACCGGTCGGTAATCATTCAGGCTGGTGATGGTAGGCGTTTTCGGCACTGGGATGATGGTTGCAGATTTTAAGCAGGGAGGGATGACAGCCTGGGCCAGGGAGAGATTGAAAATTCTGGTGAAGGTGGGGGCGAGCTGGAGGGCACATGCTTTGAGCACCCTGCCAGGTACTCCATCTGGGCCAGTAACTTTCCTGGGGTTCACTGATTGGAGGGAACGTCTAACATCATGCTCCCGTACAGTGAGTGGAGTGGTGCAGTAACCGGGTGGGTGTGGGAGCAGGGCAGGATCAGATGGGTGCTGCTGTGGTGCATCAAAGCGTGCAAAGAAGCAGTTTAGCTCCTCTGCTAGTGATGCACTCAGGTCTCCTGTTGTCACCTCACAGCCTCTATAGTTAGTGATGTTTTTTATGCCCTTCCACACCTCCCGTGAGTTGTTGCTGGACAGATGGGACTCTATATTCCTTTTATGGTCAGCCTTTGCTGTTTTTATTCCCTTATTCAGGTTGGCTCGAGCAGCTCGGTACAGAGCTCTGTCACCTGACCTGAAGGCAGCGTCATGGGCTCTGAGGAGTGTGCGAACCTGGCTGGTCATCCATGGTTTCTGGTTGGAGTAAACACAAATGTTTTTGACCATAGTCATATTTCCGATGCAGAAGTTGATGTAATCCAGTACTGTTCCTGTGTATGTTTCCATTTCCTGATGTTGAAATAAGTCCCAGTTAGTTTGTTCAAAGCAGTCCTGTAGGTCATCGAGTGCATTACCAGGCCAGATTGTAACAGTTTTTGTTGTAGGCCTTGCTCTGCGTCTGAGGGGGGGTGTAAGCTGGGGGGAGCAGGAGGGAAAGATGGTCTGACTGCCCGAGGTGGGGGAGGGGTATGGCTCTGTATGCATGTTTAATGTTCGAGTAAACATGGTCCAGAGTGTTCTCCCCCCTAGTAGAACACTTAACATTCTGGTAGAATTTTGGGAGTACAGTCTTCAGATTAGCGCTATTGAAATCTCCTGCAATTATATGAACACCGTCGGGGTAAGCCCACTGCTGTTCATTGATGGTGTTCAGCAGGAGAGAGAGCGCCGTATTTACATTAGCGTCTGGTGGTATATAGACTGCAGTAATTATCACAACCGTTAGCTCTCTCGGTAGAAAAAAAGGTCAGCATCTCACGGACATGTACTCAAGGTCTGGGGAACAGTGATTGTCTATAATTGTCCCGTTGTTACACCAGTTCTCATGCACATAAATACAGAGCCCCCCACCTCTGCTCTTACCGGAGTCCGCAGTCCTGTCCCAGTGTAGCAGAGAGCGGCCTGCTAGCTGTATGCTAGCATCGGGTATCCCGGGGTGAAGCCAGGTTTTGGTGATAATCAGAAAACAGCAGTCACGAACATAGCGATTTCCAGCGAGTTGTAATTCCAAATAATCCGTTTTATGCACCAGGGATCTGGCATTAGAGAGATAAAGGCTCGGTAGAGGTGGCTTGTGGGGCTGTGATCTTAGCCTTAGCATAACGCCAGACCTGCAGCCTCGCTTCTGCTTCCTCTCCCTTCTCCGTCTGCGCCGCCTCCCAGGCGACAACAATCCACGGAGAGCCCGGTGATCTTGCTATTTTGTCTGGGATGTTGCCCGGGCACCGAGGACCCACACCACCCAGGCCAAGGCCTGACAGGGCCAGAGGACCCGAGCCCCACCAGGCAGACACCAGGCCGAGCCGACACTCGCCCAAGCGCCCAGCCCCCGACTCCAAGGGCCCCAAGCGCGCCGGCAGGCAAGGGCACACCCCACCAGGGGGCTGCGCGATAGGGGCGCGATGCCAAGCACCCGCAGTTGTATCAAAGACGGGACAGTCCGAGTCTCGGCCTAACAAATACCCATTCATACACAGACACAATCACACAGTCCCAGCCTCATTCTCACACTCACTCACTCAAAGACATACAATAACGATACATTTCATTCTTATTCTCGATACGCACTCTATACCTCCCAGGTCCAAGACATGTACCCGCCCTCTACAGGGGGCAGCCCATGCCCAAACCCAGGAGGTAAACCCATTCATTCTCGAGCGGAGAAGAGCCAATATCCCAGACCACGCCCAGCCGACAGGACACCCGCCACCATGAAGAGGACACGCCACCGAACACCCCCACACACTGCCAACAACCAAGCACGCACCCCCAGCCGACCGCCCGCCAGGCCCCGGCAGCCACCCCGGCCAGCGGGCCAACCATGACACCCAAGAGCCAAGCTCAGGGGCTCCAAACAACCCCAGGGAGAGCACAGCGCCAGCACCGCCCACGGCAATCCCCCAGACCCCGAACCCCCACATAGTCCTGGTCAACACCTGACAGCCTGCCCTTCTCCCGGACCCCACCCCCGGAATGGCAGTCAGGGAACTGGGGGGGGAGGAAAAAATAAAATAAAATAAGACCCCGACACATACACCCCCGCCCCTAGATGTGCTGTTGATGTGTGTTGTTGTATAGTGCCATTAAAAAGGAAAGAAGAAGGAGCAAAGGCTGGCATGATGCCAGTTTCCCCTCCACCCCAACTCTATCCAAACCCTAGTGTCTAAATGCAACCGTTGTAAGTGAGCACAGGCATAGGGGGTGAGAGTAAGGTCATCCCACCACCCATAGCCATGTGCCCACCTCAAGTTCCTATATGTGAATGTCATGAGGATGTTATGAATGAATGTCTAAGGTGTACAATAAAATTGAGTCCCAGGTGGCTATGGTCAACAGAGAAGTAAAATTGTTGCAGCACACCCGAGCCCAAACAACCCTAAATGTGTGGAATTGAAATGAAGAGGGTGGAGGTGCATGGTGAGCGATGGGGAGAAATAACTGTGAGAGCAATGCTCCCACAGGGAGTCAGCTCCCCCACTGACCCAACAGCCCCCCCCAATTCCCAAAGGTCCACCCAGGGATTGAGGCCAAGACACGTCTCCATCTGGACCGACCGCCAGGCCCGCTGAGCTCCAGACCAGAGA